AAAAAATCATTCCTACAGATCTGTTTTTTCCGAATTATTTTCATCAGATTAGGTAACTTACCACACCGTTGTAAGCACCGTTTACGCATTCTTGTGATATATTACATCATAAACATCGTTTAATCACCTTTTATTCCTTTTGGTCAAACGTTCACTTTTAAATCATAATGTAACATCGAGGTTAATTGCTGTTAGTGCTAATTAATGTCAATCACTGATTTGTTATGGTAAATACTCTTTACGATTAATTATTTAATGCGAAAAGATAAAGATATTTAAATTAGCCACTGAAACGTGATCAACACTGAAAAAGTAAAAAGTATCAATATATTATTCACAATTATTATTCAAACTACGTATGACCTGCAATAAGTGAATATATTAAAGACATGTACATAAATTCAGAAAACCTAAAAGGGAATGATTTCGTGCTAAGCACACGATCTACGAGCTCAAACAATAAAATGTTCGGACAATCGAAAATTTATTGAAAACGTTCATTTTCATAACCTTGCTTATTGAATTAAAAAAACGAGATCAACAATACATTAAATCATTTATAATAAAATATTGAAATGGCTTGGTTTCTATAAACTTTGAATTGCATTATTGGCGGTAAAATAAACGAAATTGGAAATATCCGTAATTATTTAGGTACTGTGTATAAAATAAATAATTTTAAGATTAGCTCATAATAAGCTGTAAGTTTCTTAACAGTTATGTTGTAACAACAAACCTCATGGCTAGCCACCTAACAAAAATGGCCAGAGGAAGTATGACGTATACTAAATTTCGTCAATTGACAATCAAAACATAATTTCAGGGTAAAAAATACGTAAAATTGCTGAAGAATTGTAATACGGGAGGCGACTCCGCTGTCACCACTGTAAAGTAATACAACGTGGGCGTTATGTGAAGGTAGGGAAAACGCTGTCACCAAATGTAATACTTTATAGATCCTCAAGGGATGCTAACCCTGCGAGCGGCTGCAAGGAATACTGGTCACACTAGTCTGGAGGGCTGGCTCGTCTTCGTGGATTTACGAGAAGATAAGGGATTTTCGGGATAGGGATAGGACTCCTAGGTCTCAGGTCCTGTAAAGAGCAGAGGTTATGGGCTTACTTTTGAAGCCGGAGACATGCAGAATCTCGTGTTCTCCTAGTCTCTAGTGAGTCAGACGAAAGGAACATTAAAAAAACCAATTTAGAGTCTACAATATATTGAATTTACCCTGAAGTTACAAATACAATCGTTAACACGTTATTCTGCGCGTCGGGAGGCGAGAAGCAAAATAGTGAAGAGTTGACAGTTGTACTAATATAATTACTCAGGTTAGTATATAGAAATCTGTTACCTTATGTGTATTTGGGCTTTCAACCACGACACGTTCGGTCCTCTGGAACTCGGTCAGTTGAGGGTCTCCTCCTGAGTTACGGACTTACAAGCTGCCACAATAACCGGACTACACGAGATACTATGCCGGGATGATAAGCGCTCCCCGGAGAATTACCGACTGCCTCGTACTGATCGCGTACTGGACGCTATCGCGTCCGAGCCGGAGCTCAGCAATTACTGCCTTGAGTGCTCCCCGTACTACCACTGACTCAATTTACCAAGTTTTTTAGTTTGTATGTCCTGCAAACATTCGTAGTTTTGTTTTGTTATTTCTGCTGTACTATTCCACGTGTTGGAATGTAACATGCGATGGTGTGTCGCTTCGTTGTATTAGTTTTCATGAAGGTCTTCGGATTTCGTAATTCTTAAACATTCGTGCTTGTATCAAACTAGGTCAAATTGTTATACTTTGTATAATTTAAATGTATAAGTTAACTGTATTAATTATCCCTTATTTAATTCGGAATATATAATAATTATCTCGAATAATTATTATCTTTTCTATGCTACTTAGCCCTTTATTCCAACTCCGCACTCACTTGCTATGTTTACATTACAGAATTAGATCTGGCTAAGTCTACAGTTGAAGACATACTTAGCATCATCGTGAGAGTCTCCAACGTAAAGGCAAAAGTACGGGTAGACCGGGAATTGTGTGTGATAGGGATCGACGATTACTAGTGAAAATTTGCAAATTAGGCCATCGCAACACTTTACAAGCTATCACAGCTTTAGCTCACAATTTATCAAAAGAGAGCTGAATAAAATGGATACACAAATCAAGACTCGAAGTCTTTATAATACTCCAGTCGTTAGAGACGAAAATACCACTAAACCTCTAAAAATCATACAAACAAGCTGAATTTTGCCGAGATTATTAATTTTGGGGCCCTAAAAAAGATGCAAAACAGTTTACCACTTTTACTTCTGGGCTTTCCCCTAAAACCCCCCGCTTAGGGGGGTAAAAACACAAAAAAATCAATTTACCAAGAATATGTAAGTTATAGAAAATAATGTTTTAAATAAAAATTTAGCTGAGATAATTTTAAACAAAAATGGTTATTAGCGCTTTTTGTGTAGAAGGAACTGTTCTCTCAGAAACAACACTTGAAGCGACCGTCGATTTTGAATGTCAGTTACGCGCGCGAAATCAATTTTCAATAAAATTTGTATAAGCTCGACTGTAAAAATTCGATATCTTCTGATCCAAATGTCCTATCGACAAAAATTAAGATTCGTTTTAAAGGTAAAAAGTTTAGCTTGCGTACACAATTTTTGTATTTTGCCGCAAATAAACTCAGATTTTATAAAGATGTTAAACAAATAAACGTGGCGTGATTTTTTTTATGATTCTCATGAAATCAATACGATCTATACCTTTCATTGACTGACCAATATGAAGTTTCGATTACTCTAGCCTAACCTTCAAAACCAATGGCATAAAATTTTAGTTTTGAGTTTTGCGAACAAATATGAGGCATTTGAAATATGCTTAAAAAACGCTGGAAAACTTTCTCATAACAAATGATCTAAAACTTTTTTTTCAATTACACTAATACGTTTTTTAAAATAACTTAACTTCTGCTATAAACTACATCCAAAAACGGTCTTTTGGAGGCATTTTTCGTGACGTGCGATCGTTTATAATGTAAAACATTAAATTCTGCTTTTTTTATTCATATTTCAAATGATTCATATTTGTTGCCTCAACAATGGAAGTTTTACTATGACTGGTCAATAAAAGTGATCAATTTTATTGATCTCACGGGATTGAAATTTATTTGAAACATTTTTTTCTACAACGTACAAATTCTTGGTAAATTAATTTTTTTGCCCCCCTTTGAGGGGGGTAAAACTTTTTTGATCTTTATTGGGGTTCCAGAATTAATTTTCTCGGAAAAATTCAGCTTGTTCGTATGATTTTTAAGGATCAACCCTTATTAAATGCATAATTTTTTATTACCCGTAGTATTTTAGGTGAAAGAAAAACCTGACACTTCTGTGTTAGTCCTTTGCTAACAGAGAAGCAAAAAAACAAACCGCTTCAATTGACCAAGATCGAAGATTTCATGGACCATTGATTAGTGGTCCAAAATCATATTCAGTGACGAATCGAAATTTTTTATTACTCATAACATTTTAGCTGAAAGAAAAACCTCTGCTAACAGAGAAGCAAAAGACAAACCGCTTCAATTGGTCAATATCGAAGATTTCATGGACCATTTATTACTAGTTCAAAATCATATTCAGTAGCGAATCTAAATTTTGTGTTTACGTGGGAGACTTTCAAAAACAGGTTATCGGAAGTAAAAATGAAGCATTCCATAAAGATTGCCTCAAAAGAACTGTGAAGTTTCCCAAACAAATTATGATTTGGGAGTGCATGTCATCAGCGCGTCTAGGAAAATATGAGGTGATAGATGGCACAATTAACGGAGCAAAGTATCAAGAATTTTTAAAAAATAGTCTTCTACCAAGTGCTCATGATCTCTACGCGGACTTCAATTTTATATTCAAGCAGGACGGTGTTGCAGGCCATACAGTTAAAACTACTAAAAAATGGTTTGGTGACAATAACATTAATGTTCTCTCATGGCCTTCGAACAGTCTAGATCTTAATGTTATTGAAACATTGTGGCATAAGATAGAACAGAAATTGCGCAATGATCCCCAGAGAAACGTCTCTGATTTGAAGAGTAAATTAAGTGAATTATGCGATATTTCCGACCCTGACTTGTATAAATCCGTAGTACGAACAATGCCAGACAGGATTGCCGCGGTTGTAAGGGCGCGTGGCGATATAACCCCATATTAAAATAGTAATTCCTTGAATTATCCGAACATTTAGTTGTCATGACAATATGTAATATTTTCGTTTATTTTACCGCCAATAGTGTAATTCAAAATTTAGAGACCAGGCCATTTTAATATTTTATTATTAATGATAAAGTTTAATGTATTTTTGATCTCGTTCAATTAACTCAATAATCTAAGTTGTGAAGATGAACGTTTTCAGTAAATTTTGTTTGTCCGAACATTTAGTTGTTAGGGTTCGTAGATATAATAATGGGCAGAGGTAAGCATGGCAGTAATACTGCTGATTACATGCAGATGCCTTAAAAATAGTAACTACATAGTAGGGATGAACGCAAGACGGCCCATCCTGCACTTTGGCCTTAGGGATGGAATGTTACTCACGAAATCGGCACTTTTATTATTATGGAAATGATTTGCTAATTAAAGTTATATAAATATCTGCATTACATTCGCAAAGTAAAAATATTTATAGAAATTAAACGGTTTTGTGCTGTAATAATTCCTATTATTGAAATATAAATAATAGATTTAGAATAACAGAATATTTTAAAATTTTTTCGACAATTCCTTTTGATTTATGGCGATGCAAGCTTGGTGTGCAAAAAATTGTTTTGGTTTAGGTTCTCCTAATAAACCGCCACCCGGCATTACGGCCATATCACCAGACGACGATACGTTTGAATCTAACCGTGAACGTGATAAATAAAAAGAAATATGAAAATAAGTACATAAAAATGATGAAATATTTTAATTCATTGTACTAATATACTTGATTGTGAAGACCTTACCCAGTCCTAGCGAAGTTCGTCCAGAGTGTTGTAAAAACTTTGGCTATTCTTTTATCACTTTCTGATGGTATAACATCCGGGAAAAGTCCATCACCAACGGGGAAAAGGTACTGCAAATCATCAGCATGAACCGTACCTGCACAAAATGATCGTCATCATTATTGCAATATTAGACCGTCGGATTTCAAACGAAGTTCAGGCACAATTTTATCCATTGTGTCATTGAGAGTACTAAAATATGAAATCAAGGAGAGTAAAATATGTGAAAACTGTGGGGTTTCCCATCGAAAACTACGTAAAAATGAATTTTTTTTTTTGTAAAGAAAATCGAATGTGCTGCGATGATTTTCTCCTTTATGCCATTTTACCAATCGATAGAGGAGTACTGATTTTATTTTTAAAAATTTTGGCTTAAGTTTATCAGTTTTCATGATAAGCACCTGCAAAAAAAGACATAAAAACAGGTCATGAAAACAAAAAATGTTACCTTGGAAGCGTTGAGAAAAATTAGAAAAAGATTTCCAGAAAAACGAACTCAATTCAGCTCGAAATTTCCTTTTCTTTTTGCTTATATTATATGAAAATTTTGGTAAACAAAAAGGCATAAGGCATAAGATTGTGGTTAAACTTGGTATTGTAATCCGATGGTCTATGTGATTTTCTTTTTAATCATATCTGCTATAACCACTATTAAAAATCAAAGAAAAAACTTACCGTAATAATCTTCACCTCCACCAAAAACTTTGGAAAAGCTTACACTTCCGTTGTATCCAAAAAGATAAAAGTATACAGGCTGTTTGTAGAACTTTGTATGAAGTCTTGCCACATCATCGGAACATTTAAAGAACCAGCCGTCAGTGTACATCTACGAATATACATATAGATATTAAATAGAATTTGCAAAAAAAACAAATGAAACATATTATCAAAGACTCCTACTTCATCAAGAGCTAGCAAGCAAATTGGGCCTTCTTCTAATTGGCCATATCCCTTATCTTAATTATTAGGTTACTGATTTTCTGGACATATGCCTAAATATGACAATTTCAAGTTATATTGGGACTGTACTCTACTTCTTCTTCTTAAAGTGCCCTCTACTCAATGGAGGTTAGCTACTACAATTTTAAACTCTTTTCTATCTTCAGCTGTTCTTATTAGCTGTTCAAAATTTAGCCCCGTCGGATGTTTCTGAACCACAATAGTCTTTTCCTTCATAGGCCTCTCTTTCCCTCGATTTTTCCTTTCACTATAAGTTGGGCATATTGGTACTTATTATTTCTCAGTATGTGGCCTAGGTATGATGTTTTTCTAACTTTTACTGTGTTAAAAAGTTCTCTTTCCTTGCCTATTCAATGCAACACTTCTTCGTTTAAGGTATGCGATGTCCATGAAATTTTGAGTATTCTCCGGTAGATCCACATTTCAAAGGCCTCCAATTTATTTACGGTTGATGTTTTAAGGGTCCACGTTTCAACTGCATACAGAAGAGTCAACCAGATGTAGCATTTTGATAAACGTAGTCGAATTTATAGTTTTATTCGAGAATCACAAAGCAGTTTTTTTTTATTTTTTCGAAAGATTTTCTGGCCTGTTCTATTCTCGATCTTATTTCTAGATCAGGATTTAGGCTGCTATTGATCCAACATCCCAGGTACTTAAATCTATTGACCTGTTCTAAAATGTGCCCATTTATTGTGCAAGGTTGAGGTACGTTTTGGTTTTTTCGGATTGACATCACTTTGGTTTTTTAATGTTTATTTTCATACCAAATTGCTCACAGGTCGAGTTAGTCTTGTCGATGAGTCGTTGTAGACCTAAGTCGGAATCCGCAATTAACACTGTATCATGGGCGTATCTGATACTGTTGATATTTACGCCATTCACATTGACTCCATCCTTGGAATGCTCCAATGCTTCTTTAAATAGAAACTCGGAGTAAAGATTAAACAGCAGAGGCGACAAACCACATCCTTGTCTAACTCCCCTCCTAATTTCTACTTTTGCGGATGTGGAACCTTCGATCCTAACTCTGGCGTTTTGGTTCCAGTACTAGTTTTTTAAGAATTTGATGTCTTTTCCATCTAAACCGACTTCTTGCAAACGTTCTAATAGTAGGTCGTGTCTTACTCTGCTAACAGATCAAATAGTGTACACATAAGTAATAATAGATAAACAGTGCTTATTGGTGTGGGGACATTTAATAATATTTTACATATTAAACTAAAATCTAGCAAGATACGGCCATAACTAAGAACACCAAACTACGACAGGCACGGGCGCTTATCTTTCCTATCGCTAAGAAAAGCAGACATTACAAGAACGTAAGGAAAATAGCCCCTTCGATGGCCAGACCAAAGAAAGAGCCACCAGCATTACCGGTTGCTCTCTCTCTCTCTCTCTCTCTCTCTCTCTCTTTCTCTCTCTCTTTCTCCCTCTCTTTTTTTCTGTCTGAAAAAGTCACACGAAACCATACGTAGAATACCACAACTTTACCAAATCCTTACGAAGGATGAATGAAAGACAGATGAGAGAGAGTGAAGAAGTATTACATACAAAGAGCAAATCGCAAAGTGTAGATAACACTCATGAAAAAGGGAAAGACAATATCTATAAGTTTAACAATTACTGGTGTCATTCCGAAAAAACTCCTTGAGATTATAAAACAGCTCAGTTTTAGTGAACATCAACCTTTAAAAAGAGTACCGCAAAATGTTTTACTGCTCATGATGTTTAGATTATCATATTGTTCTGAAGCTATTTTAATAATAAGCCTCAATTAAGGGTTAAAGTACGTTTATTATAGTTTCAATTTTCACTTCGGAAATCGTTCGCAAAATACAAATATTAGTAAATTAAACAAATTTTGCTTTTTTATTACTTGGTGAAAAAATTCTTCTAATTTAATTTTATCTGACACATTTATATTGAAAATTTAGACATACATTTTAAAGTAGATGACTTTAAAATGATATTGCCAATATTGTTGAGTTGCGTTCCTGGGACGACTTTAGGACGACCTACTTTTGTAAGATAGTTCATTCGATTACATGAAATGAACTTTAACTTGAGAATATCCATCAGAAAAAACCATAGTATGTAATTCGTCTTTAAAAAGCCAAATACATGCCATGATGGCAGTAAAACTCTCCTGTTCCGACAATTTTTTGAAAGCATGTTCCAGAATGGCCGTTAAGAGTTTGGGAGATAACGTGTCTCCTTGCCGGATTCTTCTTTTGACTTTCATACATTTTCTGTCTTTGAGATTTAATGGATAAAAGACGTCAATATAAGGACAAAGATAATCAGATGTACAAAAAAGTGGATAAACAAATAAAATACAGAATTAAGAAAGCGAAAGACCGAGGGTTAAAAGAACAATACGCAGAAATAGAAGAATACCAGAAAAGACATGATAGTTTTAACACACATAAAATAATTAAACAATTAACTCACAACAATAGAACAAGAAAACCGGGAATACTGAAAGATGCAAATAGGAAACTTGTGTTGAATACTAACGACAACTTAAAGAGATGGACAGAATACATCAATGAACTGTTCAAAGACAATAAAACAGAACAGATGGAGATAGAATTAGAAGAGGATATGGTTTTAAAGATATTAAAAGAGGAAATTAAAATGGCATTAAAAACAGCAAAAATGGTAAAGGATTGGGTCCAGACCAAATCCCTATAGAAATCTTATACAATACAATAATGAAACCTTAGACATTATAGTAGGCTTATTTAACTCAGTATACAAAACTGGACAAATACCGAAACAATGGTTACTCTCCACCTTTTCTGCTATCCCTAAAAATACAAACGCTAAATATTGCAGTGAATACAGAACAATATCACTAATAAGTCACATTCTCAAATTATTCCTGAAAATAATACATGGTCGTATAAATAAAAAACTGGAAGAAGGAATAGATGATAGTCAGTTTGGGTTCAGAAACGGACTAGGAACCAGATAAGCGTTATTTGCTTTTAATGTGTTAGCTCAAAGATGCATGGATATGAATGTCGCTGTGCATGTTTGTTACGTTAATTTTGAAAAAGCATTTGACAAAGTAAGACATGAATAATTAGTCCAGATTCTAAAGACAAAAAACATAGACCATAGGGACTTACGAATAATAACAAACCTCTACTGGAATCAAAGAGTACAAATCGTAATAGATAACGAACCTAGTTCAGAAGTTGAGATGAAGAGAGGAGTTAGGCAGAGATGTATTATGTCCCCATTACTATTTAATGTATACAGTGAAGCCATTTTTGAAGAAGCATTACTAACTCCAAACTTATGGAGCAGAGACTTTAACACTCACGCAAAAATCTTCGAATAAACTCAGAGTTACACAACGAGCCATGAAACGTGCAATGCTGAACGTGAGCCTTCGAGAACACATAACAAACCAACAAATCAGGCAAAGATCAGGAGTTGAAGACATCATCGAAAGAACCACGACGCTTAAGTGGAACTGGGCAGGGCACTTAGCCAGAACACAAGATGGACGGTGGACAAAACTATACAAGAAGCCGAAGACGACCACCGACTAGATGATATAAAACGTGTAGCGGGAAACTGGCTACAAGCGGCCCAGTGTAGAGAACACTGGAAAGAACTGAGGGAGGCCTATGTTCAGCGGTGAACGCGATTAGCTGATTGATGATGATGATTACTATCTCAAAGTGAAGGAATAATAATTAACGGACGATCTATTAACAACATAAGATATGCAGATGACACCGTGATTATGACAAGTTTTGCTGAACAACACCAATTACTGCTAAAAAGAATAAACAGTTTTTGTGAAAAATATGGACCGAAAATGAATATAAAAAAGACCAAATACATGATAATAACAAAGAAAACAAATATAACATCAAACATACATTTGGGAAATGTACCGATAGAAAGGGTTGATAAATACAAATACCTAGGAACCTGGATTTTAGACAATAATGATCAAACAACCGAAATAAGAGCTAGGATAGAAATAGCAAGAAATGCGTTTGTAAAAATGAAAAGAATTGTCTGCAACAAAGATCTTAGATTATAACTGAGAGTAAGAGGACTGAGATGCTATGCGTTTTCGATACTGCAATATGGACTTGAAAGCTGGACATTGAAGCAAGAACACATAAATAAGTTACAGTCCTTTGAAATGTGGTGTTAGAAGAAGATGCTTAGAATAGCATGGACACAGAAGAAAACTAACACGACTGATAATACAGGGAAAGATAAGAGGAGGAAGTAGTACAGGAAAAAGGAGAGTGTCATGATTAAAGAATTTAAGGGACTGGTTTAAATGCAGTTCTATAGAACTCTTCAGAGCAGTAGTAGATAAAGTAAAGATAGTGATGATGATATCCAACCTCCGATTTGGAGACGGCACTTAAAGAAGAAGTCTTTGTGTAGTGGTACGGTCATGATTGCATTATTACATATATCAGTTTGGAGTACCGATAATCTATCCGACTTTCCTGCAACGCTTTCATTACGCTGTTAATTTATATCGTATCGAATACTTTGCGAAAGAAAGTCTACGAAAGCTAAGACCAATGGTCGGTTCTATTTTATGGATTTCTAATATCCTGGTTATGCAGTGAAGGTGGTCGTTACTGCCAAAGTTTTTCTTAAAACCTGCCTGTTCTCTAGGTTGGTAAAAATCTACTTTTGTTTCCAATTTATTTATTATTCGTGTGAATAACTTGTAGAGGTGATTTAACAGGCTTATAGGTCGGTTTTTCTCGAGGTGTGTTGGATCGCCCTTTTTGTGTAATAAAGTAAAGGTGCAAATGGTAAGTGCGATGTGCCATCTTGTATGTGTTTCACTTTGGTGCAGACATAAGTTAAACAATTTCTTTCTATTTTCTAAAAGGTTATGTGCTCCACTCTTTACGGTTTCTATAACGATCTTCGCCCGGCGCTTTGTTTCTTATTTCCTTGTTTCGTCTGTTGCTACATCAGGCCTCAGTTCCGATCCCTGGTTGACTAATATTTTTGTTAAGTTTTCTAACTTTTCTGTTAGTTTCTCATCATTATTTTGTTGACTTGTATAGAAATCTTCTACTACTCTTAGTAATTCATCTCTGTTGGTGATGATATTTCCATCTGTATTTTTTTTCTCAAACGTTACTCTCGAAAAAGCCTTATGGTTCGATAGCATCCACCCTAATTTCCTTCTCAATGAATTTTATATGGATTTAGGTAATCGCTAATATTAAACACATAACAAAACTTTAAAGTCACAGTTAATAACAATATATTTATTTTAAAAAATTTTCAACATTTACTAACATTATAAGCTTTTCCATATGGTATTAAATTCGTATGGGTTAAGGGACATTCAGACATATTGGCTAATAGTATTGCGGATTCAATAGCTAAAAATTCACTAAATCACCAACTATATTGATTGAAGAATTTAACACATGTGATCTCCTTGCATATGCATAACAGCATATTCAATTTAAATGGGATAGACGTTGGATTAAGTTCGGTGAAACTACAGGCACTAATTTGTTTAAATTACAACCAACAGTGGCTGCGAACCAATTTACAAAGTTGTTGCACTAAGTAGAAATAGAATATCAACCATCATAAGATTAAAAGTAGATCATGGATATTTTCCGAAGCATCTTCACAAAATGGGAGTTCTCCCAGCAGACAGATAGCTGATCTAAATCACATATTCGGTTCCTTACATGCCAATACAAGTACGTGGCTGCCTTAAGAATTGCTGAAAGCAGGTTTAAAGACGCCATTAAACTTAAATGTACTATTAAATGAAGATAATACAATTTTTTTAAATTGATTATGGTATTTCAGCAAAAAATTAAATTAAAGGTATTAATAAAAAAATTGCTCATTTGGATGAATATTTTCTTTACATGTGTATCTATTTGTTGCCCACGTAATCGTGGTGTATATGTGTTTTAATAAAGGTCCTCTGATGAACCCTGAGCGTGAAATGTGTCCTCCCTGTACAATCCTGAATGAATGAATACTAATATTTGTATGTAATTACGTGGCTAAAGGTTTTAAACCAAGGCTAAAATATATATAAAAAAAAGTAATTGCTCAATAGTAATAGCTGTACTAAATCCGGATAAACGAGTTGCCCACCGAAAGAGTTATCGTCTAATTGCTTTCATTTTTATAACGTAGAAAATAGTACAAAGATTAATCTGTAACAGAATCCCAATAAAACTTATTGCTATTCCAATTAAAAAGCAGATTTTAGACTCAAACACACTTGTACTGATTAAGTCTTAGCATCCTATACATATATAGAAGCCAGCTTTTAAAGAAAATTTTCAATTCGATTTAACATGGTCAATATGCATATATCTATTACACAAATAACTACCTACCAGCTCAATCATGTGGCTGCGGTGAGGTTAAGTCATTAAAATCCCCAAAATTTCCTATTTGCAACGCCAGAAATTTTTTTATAATGTAGTACATTTAGGGTTAATTTTTATGCCATATGTTATGTTAGTTGCCAATAATATCAGCAATTTATATTATTTGATGAATCAAATACAGGACCTATACTTACATCAGTTATTCCTTGAATAGAATCTTGAACTCTTTTATTTCCAAAATAGAATTTTTTCAGACGGCGAGTCACCCTTTGAGGATCTTTTTCCGTCCTATCATAAAATAGAGAAATTGGAACAAGTTCGTCGAATCTATCGGCAAATTCGTCCAGCAAATTGGCGTTTTTATAACCTAAAACAAAAAGTAACCAGGGTAAGTTAAATCAGATGTTTTGAAAACTTGTCCATAGCATTTAACCACTGAACAACAACAACAACAACAATAACCACAACAACAACATTGTTAGGTGATTTAACTAAATAACTCATTGATGTAATATTAACAAATAATTAAATTTTAGACAAGACTGCTAAAATATATTAAAATAAATGTTATATTTTCAAATGAAAGTAATTGCTACTACTATTCTACATCCTATCCATAATATTTACTATTGAAATCCATATAATTATTACGGTGGAAATGTGAAAACAACTTTAAAGAAAACGTTTTATAGGAAAAAGAAAAATATAATTTTTTAAATATCTTTTGTTCCATAATGTTATCTTTAAATGTAAAGTTGGTGTATTCACGTCAAATGTTAGATTTCTTTAACTTTTAACAATAAAACACTGAAAACTTTTGTTTTCAAAACTTTCATAAAATTTATTTTAGTTTTTATTTATTTTTTTATCACTACAGAGTGTCTTTCTTAAGTGATCTTACTAAGTTACGGAGGTTACGGGGTGAACTGTTTGTCTTAAGTTGGTTATTCAAAATGATGCCCGTATTTTTTAATTTGTTAATTTCCATATATTCTAGTAAAGATAGCTTAAGGCCTTTATTTTGAATGTGAAGAATCTTAAATTTGTCATTAAAAGAATGATTATGGTCTAGAAGGTGAAGTGCGTAGACTCTGTTTTTCTATTTATGTTCTGCTATCGGTTTATTAAAAGTTCTACCAGTTTGGCCGATATAAGTTTTTGGGCAGTCACCATATATTTTAATACACTGCTGTGTAAGTGCTTTTTATTTTGGCTCTTGTTGTTAATATATTTGCCTCAGCTGTGGTTTGTTCTAAAAAATGGTGTTATTCCTTTCTTGTTTATGTGTTTGGCTAGTGTGGATGTCCTACACGTTCAATTTCAACGCATTGTTATAAATATGTATAAGTGTTTGAAAAAAAAAAAAACAACTGGAATTACTGGTAATGTGATTGTTTCGAGAATTCATGAATTAACAAAAATCGGGTATATACGATATATTATACAATTGTTAAATTAGGAACTCTTACGAATCATTCCTTAAAACAAAAGCGGCCAAATAAAAAATTGGGTACGTTTGACACTGCTGCAAAGGACATTATTCAATGAATAGTTTATAACGTTTTACAAAGAAAATAAAGTGCATACTTTAGAATTGATTTGTGAAACATTAAGAGATTTTTGGATTTAAATAAAATAAACTATAATAGATAATCGAATGGTAATAATGGAATCTCGACGTATCGTTGAACTTTGAAGAGCATTTGTACCAAACAAAAGAATATCGCAATTTATACAGAAATATAATTTATTTAGACGAAAATTGGTTCTATATGCATGATGTTGTCAAGTACGGCTAGGTTGACAACAAAAACAATGGTGCTTTAATGTACCGTGTTTAAGAGGAAATCGTGTTATCATTCTTCATGCTGCAAGCAAAGATTAAAAACTAAAGGTTTTGTATCTAATGCGTTGCTATTTATGTCTGTCAAAAATATAACAAAATCTTGTGCCGATTATCACGAAAATATGACTTTCGATTTATTTGAAAAGTAGTTTGTCGAACAGCTCTTGTACAATATTTCGCCGAATTCGATTATTGTTATGGACAATGCGTTGTATCATTCCCGCATATTAAATAAAATACCTAATAATAACATGAAAAAGGATGAAATTTATATAGGAAATTAAAAATATCACGGTTCCTAAAAGGGTTCCAGTAAAGGAAGAATTAATTAGAATAATTTAAATTTAGAATGATTCCAAAAGTCGGATTTTTAAAAGGAATACGTTATTGACACCATTTGTAGCAGGCACAGTTATATAACCCACATACTCTTGCATTTTTAATCCATTCGAAATTATTTGGGGTTCTTCTTCTTGTAGTATTTATCCGTTTCGGATGTTCGCGATCATCAAGTCAATGATCATTTACTGTTCTGAAAAGATTTGTGGTTGTTGTGTTTCGTACCATGTACGTATATATTTAAGCCAGAAAATTCTTTGCCTTTCTGCTACTCGTTACCCTTTCACTTTTACTTGTAGAATTAATTGCACAACCCATATCTTTCGCTGTTCGTCATGATGTATTCGATTTGGCTGTTTTTATTGTGATTATAGAATATCTTCAGGATTCGACGATAAAGCCACATTTCGAAAGCTTCAATTTTTATGCCGGTAGCGTCTGTGAAAGTCCACAACTTAACTCCGTATAACACTACAGGAAAGATATAACATCGTAATAACCTGATTTTTATGGATAATGGATACATTGCTTTCTCTATACTACATTTGATTTATAGAGAATGGTCCCAATTTTCATTGACGTTTATACCAAAGTAGGTGTATGTTTGAAGTATCGTAAAAAAACGATTACGAAAATATAATCAGTGACCAACTTTAAGCGCAATAGCCCATGAAAATATTCGAGAAGTAATTGTTGGCTTCAATAGCGATGTATGGCAAATTTGCGAAGCTTATGTTATAAAAATAGAAACCGAATATCCTCTATTACCTCCAATAGCACCATTAGTTATCCAACATGTGAACCATTCTAGTTCAGAATGGCTCATAAAAAAAGACAAAAAAAACTAACTGTAAACTCTTACTAACATACCCGACCCATTCCTTTCTGGCAAGGAAGGCTCATACCTTCTCGTGGTTCTTGCTAAACAGACAATCTTTTGAGATTAATATATTATTTAGCTTGTATAAAACTTATAATAAAAGGGGATGCAAGGGATAGTGACGCGCAACGTATAGCCTCTCCTATCCAAATGTCAACCTCGCCTGCCAGCGTGATGATCTTGATTATGTTCATCCGGTGCATCCTGCTAGCTAACAAATGAGGCTTTGACGTCCGAGTGATTGCCGGTATAAGCAATCCCCCACTTACTGACCAACGGCTTAGAACGGATGAGTTGGTGAGTGGTTGGGCATTCTTTTGTCCTGGGGTTGAGAAATCGGCCCCGAAGGCGGATGAATCAACAAATAATGGTCAACGGCATAAGAATGCAGAAGGCAAAGGGGAACCACTACATTAACGGCTCATAGAGCATCCCAAGGAAAATCATCATATAATTGACACTGCAATTTCAAACCGTTACTAATCATGGAAAGCGGAGGCCAAGATTCGGCAGGAGAGGAGAAATATATTTATACCACGAGGCCTCTCAGGTCGTAAACATGCGAAAACCTCGTGAAGAAGTCCTAAAAATAAAGAAATCTAATTTTAGAATATGCACATGGAATGTTAGAAGTCTATTTGCGGCTGGGAAACTTGACAACGCAATTCAAGAAATGAAACATATGAAATAGACCTACTGGGAATTAGCGAAATGAGATGTACAGAATCAGGATCATTTAAAAAGGACGGAAGTGTATTATATTATTCCGGTAACAACACAGAAGACCCGCATCACAAAAATGGTGTAGGTATATTAGTAACATCAGAACTGAGTAAATATGTGACCAATTTCCTCCCAGTCTAGGATAGAATAATATTACTGCAAATAAATACTCAACCATTTAAAACTAACATACTTCAAATCTATGCCCCGACTGCAGATAGAAAATATGACGATGAAGTCGAGAAGTTGTATGGCCAGGTCCAAGACATCTTACATAAACTTAATAAACACTAAATTTTATATATTATAGGCGACTTCAATGCAAAAATTGGGGAAGGTCGACGAGGTCAGACTGTAGGTCCTTATGGTTTAGGACAACCTAACGATCGAGGACAGAGATTGTATGAATTCTGTGAAGAAAACGATATGATCATTGCAAACACCTGGTATAAACTACCCAAGCGACGACTATACACTTGGAAAGCCCCATTTGATGATGGCAATAACCTGAGTCTTCAAGAAATCAAATAGACTATATACTTGTAAATGAGCGTTTTCGAAATGCCGTCAAAAAGTTACTACATATCCTGGGGCAGATATTGGATGTGATCATCAACCACTCGTAGCAGATACTAAACTAAGGTTAAAACGAATTCAGCGACAAAAACCAAAGTACTTAAGTTTGACGATATAAACATACAATATAACATGAAAAAAGACTTTAACGATAGAATAAAAAACATCGGGGAACAACTAGAAGATCCAGAAGAACTATGGAGTGAATTTAAAAACCAAGTTAACGAAATCTCCACAAACAATGATTATAGAAAAAACTTAATCAAGAAAAATAACTGGATGACAGACGACATCTTGAAATTAATGGAACAACGTCGACTGATAAAATCTAATGTAACAGAATATAGACACCCGCAGAGAAGAATAAAAAAGGAGATCAAATTAGCCAACGAAAAATGGATGAGAGAAAGGTGCGACGAAATGGAGGATGTAATATCTAAACAGGACTTATTTAGTGTACACAAAAAACTGAAAGAAATGAGTAATATATTTAAAAAACGAGTTCCCTCTGTACCTGTTGACACTAATAACAAAATTATTGTAAATGAGCAAGAAATAAGAAAAGAATGACAGCTGTATATATCAAAGGTGCTAAAATTAGAAAAGCTTGTGGTCCAGATGATACACCAACTGAGTTGCTGAAACTAATAGAGAATGATAACATAAAAGTAGTAGTAAGACTTTTTAATTCAACATATAACACCGGAGTGATTCCCGCAGATTGCCTCAAATCCATCTTTATCGCCATATCTAAAAAACACAATGCGAGAAAATGCTCAAAATATCGATTAATTAGTCTAATGAGCCACACTCTTAAAATGTTCCTCAGAATACTTCACAACAGAATTAAACGCAAATGCGAAGAAGATCTTGAAGATACCCAATTTGGTTTTAAAAATGCTATGGGAACCAGGGAGGCACTTTTGGCGCTTAACATCCTATTATAAAAATGCCGTGACCAAAGAAAAGATGTATTTGCATGTTTCGTGTACTTCGAAAAGGC